GTCGCCAGGCATTCCTGCCTTTGAAGTTTTAAGCACATTGATGCATTGCACAAATAAGCCAGATTGGAATAAGTAATTCTTATTAAAACGGTAAATAAGCTGAAATCTACAAAGCGCACTTCTCCTTAAAAGATCCCCACATTCACATAGTCCAGATCTAGAAAAATTTGCTGTTGAAAACGTTGTTGTCTACATGGAAAAATATGGGATATCCTGTCTTCATAAATCTACTTTCATAAATCACACATTTATGAAACTTGTAAAAGGTTTCATAAATATGTGATTTGTGATACTGGATTTATGAAGACAGGACAATCCAAAGATATATCATAATCAACTTCCATACGCTACTTTTCAAACGTACGGTCAAGATAACACTGATCCACAAATAACAGTTGCATTATCGACTTTTAGTCTCAGATTCACATTATATTAACATAAAGGAAACAGAAATGAACTGCCAATATCAACGTCGTTACAAAATTTTGTTGTTCCGATAAAATAAAATTGGGAATTGTCATCTTGCTGGTAAATCTATACGTAGTAAAGGCCTTTCTATTATTGTATAGTTTATATTCATCCACTTAGAGAATTAATACATCATGTATTCACATTCTTAAAACCAATAATTCTAAAACATTGATTGTTGAAGATCTTAGTCTTAGAAATAATAGATTTATTTCATCTTCCTCTTTCTTTATTGACTAATAATCAAAAGAAACCAATTATAACAGGAAAAGGTCGAGTTTATCACAAGAATCCAAATCAATGACTAAATACCAATACTAGTGCTAGAAGTAGAAATGGAAAAGAACATCTAACAACATCAATAAATAATTTTCCGCAAACATAAACGACCGCTTTTTCATAACGACATCAGAAATCTGATAGTGGCTCTACGCAAAATGAACCACTCCCTAATGAAGACAAAACGTTTTCCGGTGTTCGAAAAATGAAGAGCAACACGAACATGGAGTGCAGCTTTATACTGAGATGTGACTAGGCAAATAAGATGAGAGGGACAAGTACCAGAATAGACGCAATCGACGTAATTAATTGCTGATAGGAAAAAAAGGGCCTATAAACTTGATCAAAAACACTGGTTAGAAAAGCGGTGTGTAAAGCAGTTAAGCATATTGACTATTTTTTGACACTTAAATGCACTATAAGAACTTATTTGGACCGAAATAAGCGCCGGTAGTTAGTGTTTCATGATGTATCTTTTTGTTTCTGTCGATGTTACACATTGTACAGGAAGAAAATCAAAAAGGCAGCTGGGCGCAAAGAAATGAACTATAAAGGAAAACAGGCGCAGGAGAGAGTGACGGCATGTATTAGAAAACAGAAATGAGCTAGTAGTGCTCAGAAACGTTGGGTGCTATATATATTGCGTATTGACATATTCTACGATTATTTTATGTGGCTATGTAATTGTACAGTCATCGATGTTTTCTAGTTTTTCTAATGGTAAAATATGTTTAAGTGTGAAGAATACCCAGGTGCTGCATTATGCCAGTCATTTTTGAATTTAGATTGCAAATGGCGATAGTGTGAGCATTCGAAGAGAATGTAGTTGAATTTTAACCGGAGACCTCAATGACATAGCAACAACTGGGTAATTTGGTATCCTTTGAGAAAGGAATGATGATGTAATGTTTCTTCAATATTGTCGTTCTGACATAAGTAAATGTACATTGTCAATAAACTAGTGTTTATAGTTCTGATTGATAAAGTATTGTGCTGTATTATCATTTTTTGATGTCATCCCTTGTAAATGAAAATATTCTGTTACCATCGCTGTTGTTCAGTAGGAAACATTAATTTATCGATGTTCAGAAAAACTAAAAAAGTGATTAGTGTATTATTATTATTATTATTATTATTATATCAAACGAACGAAAAACATTCAAATTACCTCTCACCATTTTTCTGATGCACAAAGCTAAATCAAAATTGAAATTTAGACTTGGCTTTTTCCAAATTTAAATCTACAGTGAGACACAATTTGTCAAAGGATTATTAAAAGAATTATTTTCTTAATTCCTTTTCTAGAGGGACGCTACCTTTAATTTCTCTCTCTTCCATTCGGCACACATTTGTTCCTTTTCGATATTTCGTGGTAAAACACCTGCGCAAAGGTCTTTTTATTTCATCATTGAAATACCAATTTCTCACTAATCACTCTCTATGTGCGTGATTTTCTATATACTGTTTACTCTCGTATTTCACTTCTTGATTCCTATAGCTTTTTCAATGGTAGTATACTTTTTAAGGAAATTTTGACTTTTTGTTTACACAACTCAACTCTCTGAAAAATTCTTCTATTCGTTTGTGTGTTGGTTTCGGTCATATTGAACGAGACAAGGTATGAGTGAATTCAATTCATTAGTCAGAAAACTTGCAAGCTAAGGGAGCTAACCCAAGCTTTTTGTTATTCAGATTTTTCTCCATTCCTACTCCACTCTAGGCAATCATCGGTTATAGGGAGCCGAATCTCATTGGCTATGAGCTGGCAACTAAAATGCTTTCCAATACTAACAAAAACACTCTTATCATTTATACAGTTTAAATAGCTTTCTTACATAATTGTAGATTTGATGAATCTCACTTGTTCTTCTTTTTGTATTTTCATGAGAAACAGATTATATATGATCATACAATAGAGCTTGCTAAAAAACTACTGACCGATGATGATGATCAGGTTTGCGTCGTAATTGATGAAACTTATCTCTCCATCCAAGAATCAGCGAATAACCGTTTTCAACGCAAATCCTATAGTGTGCACAAAAGTGGTTCTCTATTAACTTATGTTAATTATTTCAACAGATGGTTAGTGTCTCCTTTGAGTGTTTTCTTTTTCATACTATTGTTTCATTTCTTTGTTGTAGGATATATCCTCAGTGTTCTGGGTCCATTTTTATCCGATTCTAAAAATAATGATGCTTCTATCACCACACACAGTTTACTGAACAATTATGATGATAAACGAAGTGAAAAAGAACTTGGAGCAGTTTTAACTTAAGATTGGAGGCAGGAAATACCTTTTTTATTTCTTTTCGGGCAAATACTCTCGGTTGATGTTTTTGACAATATTGTCCAATAGCTCCTAAATCGGTTTCACTTTGCCACAGTGTGGATGATTTCAGAGAAGAGAATTACTTGATAGGGAAGAAACTTACTGTCTGATTGTTTTCACTTTATGAATGTTTATCAGTTTATATAAAACACATCTTAAACTATTTTGATTTAATTGTTTATCAAATATTGCTGAAATTTTCGTTTTATTTTCTTTTGTTTATTCTTAATAATTAATACCATCCACTTAAAACCTAGAGAATAAAAAAGATCTTTTACGAAAATGCTGTTAGGTATATTTCTATATACAATTTGCGCTGGAGAAGATTTTTGCTGCTCTTTTGCAAGTAAAGGTAGGTACCATCCATAACAAGAATCTATAGCCTTTTCCATCGGCTACAAGTTGTTTGGCCAAAGGGAGTATGTGATCTTGTACAATCGTAAAAAGATTTCACATTGCAGATAATCCAGCGTCGGTTATGTGGAACTCGTCTTTTATAGGTAAAAAGTCCCGTTTTAGTTTATCTATTTTTTTTCTTTTTGTATTTTCTTTCTTTTCCTCTCGAATTCGGCCCTTCCTGTCGGTTCCCGCTAGATATCTCATCGTATTTGTGCTTAACCCCTCGTGTGTCATACACAGGGCCAAGTATCTTATTGATGTTTGGTACAACAGAACAAAGCGACAGTGCTTCCGCTGTGAATTGCATCAGAACTGTCAAATATTTAGAAAGAACAGGTTTCCTTCGACATTCCAATGTCTCGCATTTGATACTTTCGGCAACATCACATATATCGAGAGACTGACCAATTTCCATAAAATACTCTTACGCGAGAGACAATAAGTCCGTGATATCAATTATACCGAACTCTTCGAATTTTCCAAGTTCAAGTTCAATAAATGACCCACTAAATATGATGTAAGCTGCTTTTTCATGCGGTTAAAAATATACTACATCGAAAACCGTGTAAATATGACTTTTTCTCCCGATAAATACAGTTCGAAAAAAATAATTTTACCATTTAATGGCAACTCTACTACACAGTCAATTTGAAGGTAGAAATTGTTTGTCATTTCGAACTGTGATATAAAACTTTTGCTGCCTGCCATTTTTAGCATCGCGTATCAGAGAACTGATATGAACTGACAGCTGTTTCTTCGTCATTTTAACGGATAAAATATATTTTCCCTAGAAACAATAAGCGTAAATATCATCGACTATCGTTGTAAAGTTAATTTTTCTAATTTTTTTTTATATATAATTTAAAAAAGTTCTTTCACGTCCAGAAAATTTGTGCACACAACGAAGGCCGTACTAAAAAAATGAAAAGAAATATGCGGCTGAGGAGCCTATTGAGAAGAGATGAAAACTGATGTAACATCAAAGATAACATCAGAATTACAAATAGCTACTAAGTTCTTTACTGAATTGCGAGGAAGATAGACCGTTAGAACGGAAACTGCTTTTTTCTCGTTGATAGTTGCAGAGAAATAGTGTTTTCACATGCCTTCTCGATCACCGAACTCGCCAGGACTTCGTTGAAGCCAAAATTCGATTAAGGATCTTCTGTTACTTTTTAATAATAGTATCCAAAATGTTTGAATTAAAAATAGTGACACTAAGAACTGCCAGGTCTACCAGATTCGAGTCGTCATTACAAAAAGAATCATCGAGAAAAACGTGTTACCTGTGAACCGAAATTTTGTTGTTGTTCATGAGTGACTTAAGTCATAACATAAAAGTCTTTATTTTTGAATTTCAATAGCGATCAAGGGAGGCAAGATATAATCACACAATGGCAGAGAGGAAATATTCGTGTATTACGCAACCACGTGTGATCTTTGTTTCACAATGTGAAAAGGACAAAGAGTAGACAGATAAAGATAATGTATATTTTATACGTCTTTATACGCCGTTTTAAAAAACATGGTGATGAATTTCAATAACAATCAAGAAGAGAGAGAAGGTAAACGAATAATCACACAATGAGAGAATCTATCTTGCGCCCTCATAAATCCTTCGTTCTTCTGACTTCATCAAACGTATAGAATATGAATAGGCATGCAACAATCCCAAACTAGGAATCGCTGATCGGCACCGAACGGTTTATTACCGAACATGTCCGGTTGCGAACGGTGTGGTGACTGAACATGTTCGGTTGCGAACCATTCGGTCACCGAACTATCGGTTTGGTGCATGCCTAAATATGAACACCTGTTCAAGTATTGAATTAAAAAAAGAATACTTGTTTTTAGGAAAAAATGACAACCGCTGAGCAACAACAGCAGACACTCATACCCATCCCCGATGATCAAACAATATCAACATCATCGGTATCGTCAAAGTTCTCATCATCGTCGATGGCGTCGGATGCAAATAAAACAGCTTGGGCGAAAGAAGATCGCAAAAACTTAAAAAGACTTGGTAGTGGTGGTCGTGGCAACAGAGATGGTCGAGGCAGCGAATCTCATTGGCATCAACAAAGCAAGTGAAATTAATATTAAATTTTTGAAAACCGCTTGTTCTTATCCTCATTGTCACCAAAATCCATCACTGGTACGAAGGAAGTTCGAACTACGAAAGAATAAAAAACCAGAATTAGACAGGAGAAAAGAATAGGTGTCACAATAATAAGGGTTAATTTTTGCTCTTTTGCTGGATTATGTCCATTATTGTATATGTAACACGTATCGACAACATTTAGGCATATGTCCTTTCAACAACATTTAAGTTTTTTTTGTACGAAAAAAATTTAAAAAGCTAATAAAGAGATACGCAGTGTTGATTCATTGTTTTTACAAACGAAAAGCTAATACGAAACGTAGAAACACAGTATAAGCACTGCTCTTCATATTCAACATTTTGTACCTTTCTAGACAAGCATAAACTTTCTTTTTCTCTCTCTCATACTTCTATTATGAAACTCAGAGGTAACCGTCGAAAACTGTATTTTTGAAGTGATCTCCATAATGGTAAAATTCGTGAGGATTCACCGCTTCAACTGAACTTGTACTAGGCCCGAGCCCGAAATTTAACCTATATAAATTTCTAAAATATAATGGTAAAACTCCTTCGCTGTATATAGAAGAAGAAGAAGAAGGGTTAGTCTGAATTTATTTGATGAGAAAGTCCTGCTTCTCTGAATGTCTGAGAAGAAGAAGTTTTGAGGTTTGAGTTTGAAGATTAAAAATGCGAAGAATAGATCTGAATCTGAAGTTAAAAGTTGGCAAGAATGAATAAAGAATCCAAATTTACTTTAGATTATGACTTGTTTTTCGTTTTGTTCCTCGGAAACGACTTGTATAAAAATAATTAATAATAAATAATTTCCTTCATCTATAATCTCTCTCTAACACCCGCGAAGCTTCGAAGCTTCAAGAATTTCTAGAATCTGCGATAAAACCAAGGAAGGAGAATACTATAATGGCGATGAGCCGTTACAATCGTCCCGGATTCAAAAATCAAGAACCTTCTTTGTTTTTATTTTTATTTTCCTTCTGCTTGATATTCGAGAGTGAATGACCGGCAGCAAAGAAATATAACTAGCCTGTTAGAGATTCTCTTGAAACGTTTAATATAGAGATTGTCATGTGTTCGTTGTTGTATTGGATATTATGTGTGGACTGAATTTCTACGAAATCGTCGACGCAATATTAATGACTACGACGAACAGAAAGCAGCGTGTCGTGTATGTTACGTCTGATTCATGGTTAGAAACCATTATGGATTAATACATATATTGTTCGATCTAAACTTGTTACGATTTTTCGGTTCTCATAGACACTTCATTCATCTCATTTGAATGAAAATTCAAAACAAATTAAGTCTCTTCAACTCTTATTCATCAGTGAATAAACTCAACAACATCAAAAATATTGATTAAATTAATAAAATTAAATTAAATTGAACTAAATTGAATTGGATTGAAGTAAGTTGAATTAAATTGAATAAAATTTTGAAATGAAAACGTCCACCATCGTCGTCTTATCGTCAAACAAAAGAATAAATAAAGAAATAAAAAAATTATACATACAAATTTGTTTGCCGATTTTGAGGAAAAACTGTTTGAGTTCTATCATTATTAGTTGGAAAAACAGAAGATTTAGCTGTGTGATTCTCTTGACCAGAAGAATTTGTTGATGGAGAAGGAGATACCGCAATACCGTACTAGAAACCATTTGTACACGACTATTACCCAGTATTTTATTACAACCTTTACATCTTTCATGCTTTTCTGTCTTCATTTTGTGGCAATCCACAAAATCTCTCTGGAATCTGAAAACAACCGAGGTTAAAAACGTATTTTGAGCTTCTTTTCCATAAAAACAACTGGGCAATGTGTGCAAATGTCGTTTCGACAAAAGTCCAGTCAAAATAAGGCAAAAAAGATGCGGAGTCGTTTTCAAATCAAACACGATCGCCTCCTTTGGAAAGTTGGAGGTTTTGATGCTTTATATTTCTGAATAAAATATAACTATTGAGAACCGTCAAGATCCGTCAAGATTAGTAGTGTCACAGCCAGAACTCGTAGAAACCTATCTATTAGGCAGCAATCTCTGGATTCCTTCTTTTCTTCGACACAGTAACTGTATCTCATCTTCTTGGACCTTTCTGGATATCTTGTCCAAGGACATCCTTACCAGATCACCAACTGCACCTATGAGCCAATTACTAATATTTCACATTAATTGCGAATCACTAGCCCGAAATAACGTTCGCATTTTCCGTTAGTACTCATGCAAAAACTTATTATGCTGCTCCTTCGCTTTATAACCGAACCGAGTAATTGAATCATTAACGAACGATAACTTGCAAAGTTGCCTATGAAGTGGGAACAGCTGATCGTAAAGAAGAAGAATTAGAAAATTTAGCTCATTAGTAAGTGGCTTCAGTGAGGCAAAACTCACTTTCGAGAGCCTTTTTTACGATGAAAACGCGCCCGAGACGTCTTTTAGTAGATCTATGCGACCGTACGCTGGATTAAGTTCATTTGCTTGTTTTTTCCTTTTTATGTATTGTAGTGTAGGAAGACGTACAATCTAAACGCGGACATTTTCGAGTAAAAACCACGGTTATCTTAGCGAGATTTTGTCAACCTACAACGTAATCCATTCCTTCTAATACCTATAGCAAAGAATCAATAAAATGGACAAAAAAAGATAGATTTTATCTATTTTCTCTCTTGTACAAACACCAGAGACAAGCTCTTTACATTCTACGATTGCTGCGTTTGCTACGATCATAATTTTTACAGCTTCCCTAAGTCCGCAATCCCTAAACTCTTTCACGTATCTTGAAGTGCCCTCCACAATCTGGGAAAGTTTGAAGCAAATCTGAATGGGAGACACTCTCTTAAATAAGCAAAATAATATTTTATGACTTTTATTTAAATGAGCAGTAAAATAACCTGAATGAGCAATGATCAATTTTAGCAATAATAACTAACACTGACTGAGCAATAATTATATTGACTGAGCAATAGTTTATTTAGATTGAGGGTAAATTTTATATAAAAAGGGCAATATCGATTCATTTATACAAACACGTATTGTTTCAGTTTTGTAAAATAAAATATTGTCATAGTATGACTGACTTATATTTATCTTTTTTTCTTTCTCTCTTCTCTTCTGCCATACAGATATGTACGATATACATATATGTATCATCTTCTTCTTTACCTTTTTTCAGTCGTTCACTATATATATTGTGATTGTTTGGAAAATAAAAGATAAGTTTATGTTCGATCAGTTTCACCGATCCGCTGTGATCAAATATATAATTTATACAAATGGCTCAATCACACCACGTAGCGCAATATATTTCTGAAAGTGATGATATGGAGCTAGGATCTTCTAAAATAGTGAAGAAGTGAAAAACAAAACAAAACAGTCGAAAATGAGTCCCAATATGCAGATACAACGATAAAAATGATGCTATTAATAAAATAAAAAATGATGGTATATGGAGCAAAACTCATACAAATACAACAGTGAAGGCAAACAGGTTTATTATAGATGTAATCAAGTTAAACGACGTAGAAAACAGTGTCCAGCTGGTATTCATATTTTATACCGTAGTGAAAATGAATGTGTTTCAATGTATGAAACTGGAGATGATCATTTACACCAAGAACCGAAATCAACTGTCATAGACCAACAATCAAAAACAGTAATTGACGAATTGTTCAAAATGAAGGTCAAGCCGAAACACACACTGGAAATCTTAGATGAAAAGGGTTATCTGGTCCTAAAAAACAGCAATTATCTAATTATTTGACATCGTCCAGAGAAAAGTTGCTTGGTACAACAAGTATAAGTTTAGGCCAATTGAAAGGTTGGTGTCAACAAAATTCAGTTATACCTGATGATGATGATAAATCTTGGGTAACATTGATCTGGAAGGGGTTTCCTTGTCTTATTCTTGGGGTCACAGATATGATCAAACAGTTTCACCCATATAGATTCCCTGTTTGTACAAATGAAAAAGGGAAAGATTTTAAATTTATATTTATGTGTATTCCTGATGGTCTACGTGATTTGAATGAACGAACAAAGTCTAATACTAATTGCAAGTTGGTTCTGAAGCTATCAGAAATGCATTTTCAAAAGTATTTGGAACAAATCGTAGTATTGTTATATGCTGGGCTCATATGCGGAAACGCGTAGAAAAACAGTTATGTATAATACAAGATAAAAATTTACATACTGGAATTATGGATGACGTTGATACATTACAACTGTCGAAAGATAAAAAAAACATTTGAAATTGCCACAAAACTATTCTTAAAAAAGTGGAAAAAACCAAGAACAATTTATTCATTATTTCTCAAGTGACTGGTTAGAATCAAAAAACGGTTGGTATGAAGGCTTAGAAATGTATGGTCCAAGCACAAAGAATGCTCTAGAGGCAACAAATCGTGTCATAAAAGATGAAGATACGCTAAGAGAACGATTGGTTTTAGCAGGATTTACAGTTGTTCTATTTCCAAGTGTCAATAAGTGGTCCAAAGAACGAAATCCGGCTGGTATCAATTCAGAAAAGTTCGAACATCAATCGTCAATCACATTATCACACTGGACCGATGGATACAATTAGGTTAAGCTAAATAAAGAAATTATAGGTGTTCCAAGGGTAATACAACAAGGTATTATTTGCCTGCTGCTGCAGAACTACAATAACAGGTAAAGAAATAAAACGGTATGAGACTTGTAGATTTAATTTATTTGACACATACAAGTCCGTCTACTTCAACATATGGTGCGTCGGTTTACCTAAGAATGCTGAATAATGGAGAAAAGCAACTTGCACTTGCCCATCATTCCTTAAAAATTATATTTGCAAGCAAATTATAGGTACGGTTATCAGGTTAAAATATTGCAAACCTCCACCAGAGGCCAAAAATGTGGGAATCGGTACGAAAAGAAAAAGAGGTAGACCATCTAAAGCAAAAAAATCTTTACTGATGCAATAAATTCTTTTTTTATCGTCAACAGTAACTAAAAATAATGTGCTTTCTCTTTTTTTATTGCTAATATAAGAAATTACTACTGTTATTTAATCAATTAATTAGTATACGTTTAACAATATAAAATTGCTCAAATATAATTCTTTTTTGGCTCACAGATTATTGCTAACTAGCATCTTAATTATTGCACATTCCAATATTTTTATTGTTCAAATAAATACTAGCCATATTTTATCAATAGAAGCCGAAAAAACTTCAAAATGCTTTTTCTAGAAAATTCTAGGTCCGTAATCGCGATGCGCTTGCGCCATTTTGCTTTTAGAAAACTCCAACCTGCAATTTGGGCTTTTTTCGTACAAAAATTATTCAGTATGACATTCTATACTAGCTCATGAAGGGAAATTTTGAAGTTTCAAAAATTAGGTTTTTAAATGCAAAACTAACATTTCTAAAAAATTGAATGTTTTTATTTTCATGTGTCAAATTTTTTATTTTAAATTCTAGACAACTACGGTTACCCTCCGCAAACAAAAACACGTCCTTGAGAATATCTAGCGATAAAATTATGTTGCCGGGCCATAGTAGCTAGCTAAACGTACTACTTTTATTGAACTAGCAAAGTATATCTAGTATTGTATCGTGTTAGCTAGCTGTATCGCCCGATAGTCGATACTTTTTTCTGCTTCAGCCCAAACTCTTTTCACATATGTTTTGAAGTGTCCTCTACAATCTGGGAAAGTTTGAACCCAATCTAAATGGGAGACATATTAAGAGATAATCAAGCTGCAGAAAACAAGCTACGTTCGTTTATTCCAAAAGTCCTGCCGATATTTTACATTACTAAAACTAACATGAATATTTCGGTCAATCACAATACAAAGCATTATCAGGTAGTATACGTTTATCTATTAAGAGCCGAGCCATTACAGATAAGCCACGACCAACCGTGCTCAATCAACTTTCTCCAAACTTGATTTCAATTACATAGGTCAAAAGTACCATCAATAGCAAGTCTTTTGCCGCAAATCGCAGCTTTACAGCCCAAGTGGTTATTGAGATATTCAAGTTTTAAGAAAAGTTGTCATTTTTCTCGCAGTGAATTAGGATCAATTAGCGTTTAATCTTGAGTGTGTTATTTCCTAACGGCTTGACTTAGAGACACGAACATTTCAGCACAAATACAACTTGGATCAGGCTAGAAAACAGTGCATGTCCGGACTCTATAGGTCGTTTTATTATCAAGTTATAGATGGCGCTACCGCGACTAGTTCACCATTCATTATCTCGTGCGTAACCGGCTCAATGAGGCTCAGTCTTTTAGGGTAGATATTAGACGAGTGGAGTGATAAAACGGCAAAATAAAAACTTTGAACTTCCAAGAGGAACGCGAGATATTGAACTTTTAGTGAAATCTCGGCGTCGTCAGATAGACTCAATCCATATAAAACCTACTACCATTTGCATGGACCTCTGACGTCAGTGACGAGAATTTTCTCATATTATAGAGCTCAGCAAGCTGAACCGAATGATGAAAATCGCAAGTCTCTAGCCTTATTAGAAAAAAGTTATAGCTAGGACTGTCACGTTAACGTACTTTACATTTACGTTAGAATTAACGACAGCCCTATATGTGACTAAAGCTAGGACTGTCACATTAACTTTACGTTAAAATTAAGGTTAACGTACTTTACGTTTACGTTAGAGTTAACGTTAACGTATCGTTAAACGAAAATTAACGTTAATTAACGTTAAATCTGACAGCCCTAGTTATAGTCATTTTATCCTCGCATCGGAAGAATGCATTTCCGGCAGCTTTCGCCGAACTTGTAGAACGTCTGCGGACCAGATTACCTAATGCAGAACCTTGAACTTGGTATCAAATGGAAGAACGCGTCGAGTTCGATATATTCCCATGAAGAAAAGTTATACTACACCTTGGGGCTTGAGATAGAGATCTCTGAAAAACTCGGTTTTCTAGAACATCTAGTAATCTTAAAATTTCTTTCAGAAGTTTTTCAACCATATCATTGGATAGCCCCTTCAATTCTTCATAAAATGAGATGCTGGTCAACTTTCTACAATCTTCTGTCAAAACGTGCCATAGAAAGTACGACACTGCTCGATAGTGGCAATAAAGAGAATGAATTTATATAATGTGTATATTTACGTGATGTGAAAAAGCCTGTAACTCAGTCGTCCAAGATTGTAGAAACTTGACCAGCATCTCATTTTATATGGATTGAGTCTATCTGACGACGCCGGGATTTCACTAAAAGTTCAATATCTCGCGTTCCTCTTGGAAGTTCAAAGTTTTTATTTTGCCGTTTTATCACTCCACTCGTCTAATATCTACCCTAAAAGACTGAGCCTCAT